TTTCATCTGCTTGGAAAACTATAGGCCAGTCACAATGCCTTCGGTGTTCTCAAAAATCTTTGAATATTGCTACTTGGAAAGAGTTTCAGATTTCTTTGAGAAATATCAAGTTATATCGGCGACCCAGCACGGTTTCTGTTCAGGAAAGTTAACAACAACTTCTGTGATTTGAGCAGGGCGTTCAACTGTGTTGATCATAATTTATCAATTTCATAATTTGAAAATATCGGAGTCCATGGAACATCTTAAATATGATGAATTCTTAATTACCAGAACGAACTCAGTATGTTGACTTGATTAGCATAGACTTATAGAGAATGGAAATCTCAGACAACTCGCAAACAACAGAGGTCCCAATCGGCGTGCTCCAGGATTCCGTGCTGGGCCCTGTATTATTATTTCAGGAAAATCTCAGGAAAAGTTGATAAACCAATGTAATATGTGACTCAGGTGACTGCTTCAAACAGAACTCATTATACTTTAATTCCTTCAGAATTGAAATTCAATGATGAACCCTGAAATCAGGTCTATATTATACAAAATTTTTAGGTATCTATATTGTACTGATACAGGGGTTGAGGGTTAGCCAGTAGGAAAAATTCAAGAAGTCCCAAGAGCAAGATTTATTTCGTCGGCAGCAAGATATGCAGATACCAATGTGATGTTGAATGTGAGAAACTAAAAGTTTACATTATATTAGGAAAGAGTGTCAACTTTCCGGCATGTCATACAATCAATTTTATAAATTAATGTCCACTTAGAAGCACGTGTGGATTTTCACTGATTAAAGTAATTTTCATTTTACCACTTACCTAAAAGTGACCAAACACCAATCTAAAATATATATTTAACAAATATATATGTAATTGTTGGCAAAATTGTTAATGGATCATCAATTCATTTCCTCCCAAATCAATCCATCCTACCAGTTCTGATACCTATGTCCAAAAGAGCTTCAATGCTTAAAATCATCGTGATTGTAAAAAATTATACTTGATAAGGAGCGCGGCAAAAAACGCGCGACGATGCATTGTGGGTTGCCCGACCTCTAGCAGCTATTTTGAAAGAAATAAAATTCTTTACATACATAGCAATCAGGCAGCAGAACATATGCAACCAACAACACGAGCTGAAGAAAGGACCTGACATGAGACATGATTGACACACGACTTTAGGTATCTTCATAATACACTGTGATAATACATATATACGAGGTAGAAAAAAGTGAAAAACTTGGTCACTCATAATTATTATTATTAGACAAGATATCCATCTTCAATATTTTATATAAAGTACAGCGGTTTCAGCACATCTTGCCCCCAAAGCTCATGAGAAGATGCCATTCATTTTGCATGAGCTGGCACATTATATTTTTTTAAATGCGAGGCATGAAATGTTCCACGCTCGCGAGTGTCACAATCAGGTGAGACCAAAACATAGGTATGAAGGTGTATTTTCTTTTTTATTTTATACGGCCCTTCAAATAACAAAAGAAATTTTTTCATTTCGGACTTGATAGCCGATGATGTGTTGTTTGCCTTCAATAAAACAAGATCTCCAGGTTCAAAATTCAGTGCCCTCTTTCCTGGACTTCGAAATGCACGACGAGCTGCTTTGCTGGATAAGGTAGCTTCAGCTAGTATAAGCTTCTGATCCATGCTCAAACTGGAATTTTCAGGGGACAGTTGCAAATCTCTTGGCAGGAGGGTTAACCTTTCTTCACCAAGCTGCAATTCACATGGTGAAAACCCTGTGGATTCGTGAATTATCGTATTCAGAAGCTCTGCGAATCGTGGTACTTCATATGCCCATCTTGAGTGTCGTTCTGAACAGTAAGTCCGGAAGAGTCTCCCTAGCTCCCTCATGATGCGCTCGGAAGGATTGGATACAGGATGGCGTACAGAGCTATATACAAGCTTAACACCTGCATCTTCCATAGTTTTCTTCCATATATTTGAGGTGTATTGGGTGCCCCTGTCATGCAGAATACGGCGAGTCATGCCATGTTTGGGGAAATAATCTTTGAACATCCTGTTCAACATGGCTCGAGAATTAGCTTTTTTAAGTGGATAGAGAGTGACATATTTAGTGAATAAATTCACAATCACCAAAAGATAACATGCTCCACCACGACTTCGAATCAGTGGCCCATATAGATCAGTAGCTATGATATCATCTTTTCCTTCAGGGATGATGTTCCCTTGAGGAGGGGAAGGTAAGACTGAGCTCTTTGCCCTTTGACAAATATCACAGCCCTTAACATAACCTTTTATTTTCCGATGCATGTTTGACCACCAGACTTCAGCCCTCATGAATAACCAAGTTTTATGAATACCAAAATGGCCTAAAGTTGTATGGTATGCTTCTATGAACTGGGATACAAGCTTTTCAGGGACACACAGGAGAAACTGATGCTCCTCACTGCCTCTCTTGTACAGGATGTCCTCATGAAGGTAGAACATATTTTTCAACTTTTCATTGATCTGCAAAGTTGATTTAATCTGGTGAAGCTTTTCATCTTCCAACTGGAATTTCCTAATATCTTTTAGGATGACAAGAAAGTCCTTGGAAAATTCAAGCCTGCTGATCTGAAAGCATCTGTCCACTGGTGCTGGCAGTCTGACACAGGCATGTCTTGATAGGGCATCTGCCTGGACATTTTCAGAACCAGGCACATAAGTGACCTCGAAAGAAAACTCTTGTAGAGCTAATGC